AATCGTTCCTGAGCCGATAGGCACAAGGATACCAGTTTCTTGCAAAATATGCTGTGACATCCGTTTGCCCATCCCCCTTTCTGCCTTCGGCCGCTGATTAGGTTTGGTTCTGTGCTTTGAAATAACTTTAGGAACGAAACATGATACGTGAGGGGCGTCCGAAAATGAAGAGGAAACTTAACCCAAAGGGTGTCCATGTTCGCTCTGACTCGAAAGGTAGAATCAGTTGTGCAGTAAAAAGTATGCGAAAAACCTGCCTGGGCTGGGGAAAGAAAGGCGTCTTATTTTTCTTTGGCTTGCTCTATTTTCGCGACGTGGTACAGGCTACGAAATACTGACAAGCTCAGTATGTCTTCACCACCGAGAGTCACTTGCCCTTAGCCGGACAACCTGACTAAAGGCAAGCGCTGACTTCTGCGCCTACGCTTCGTTTGCGCTGAAGTAGCAGTATATGACCACGACAGACTTGCTGCTATCCCTGGTTTGAAACCGCAATGGGCAAGAACAATTTCTTGAAAAGAGCAAACAATTTCCTCCTTAGCATTTAGCAGACATGGAGAACAACTACTAGGACTTAAGCAATGCTATTCCTACTAGACTTGAAAAGAGAAAGCATGTCATGCATGATTCTTTCTCTTTTTAATGATTTACGGCTAAACAGTACAATTTCATGTGGCTTTTACGCAAAATTAAATACATAGTTGTTTGCAGAATTGCATTTAACAACAAATTACAGAAATTTAACTAAGTTTAGATCTCATAGATAAGAATTGAACGGAAAAAACTTTTGGGGTAAAAAAGTCAAAAAATAATGTTTGCTGGAAAATCACTTAATGGACGTACAATAGCAGAGATCTGATGCCTGTAATTTTCTGTTCAATGCACCTTATGACAAGTCTGAGTAATCTACTGGTAACCCATGCCTTAAAACCGCCTTGAACCTTAAAATTTAATCCATTTGCCTTTCATGCGTAGAACACTCCGGGGTTGCAGGAGGTAAAATCAGAAGAACAGATCATTCAGTTACTGTACCATTTTTAAAAGTGGGACAGTATGTTTGCTAATCATCTTAGTTAACCGCTTTTAAAATAGGACAAAAGGACACCTGGTCATACAGGAAAATGAATTTACTGTATCCCGAAAGTTTTGGTTTCCCGTGCACTTATTTTTCGCAGGAGACAATCGATAATTGCCTGGTCACGCAATCGGAGGTGAGTAACTAATTAAAAGTCATTGATACCATCGCCGCTTAGCAAATACACTACGTGCTGCAAAGGATCCAAATTGCGCTAGAATGTTTTCCTATTCGGCCCACTTTTTATGTCAGGTAAGGCACTGCAAAGCTGATTCATTTACGAAGGTTCGAGCGAGAATCGTTTATGAAAGTCAGCTCATTTCTGTCGCTAGGCTATATTACCGTGTTCGGCGGCTAATTTTAGGCCCGCAGACCGTTGAAATCGAAAATCTCAAATAATTCCCAAATTCGGCCGCATTTTGAAATTTAAACCTCAGCAGTGTTATAAATTCATTAAAACCTTATTACAGACTTAAAATGAGGGTAGGTTAGGTTTTGAGCTGTGGCCACGCTTTGCTCGATTTTTCTGTGCATTCGCTCTTAAGAGCGACAACTATTGTGAAAAGTTCTAGTGCATTTATAAGAAGAAAAGACATAGAAATGCAGTCGGGGAAGACAAAACTGATGCACTCCGTTTGACAAGTGGCACCGCCTCCTTGAAGGCAAGCGTCGGTGGAAAAATTGAGACTCTCAAAATCCCAGAGAAAAGGCTTGATAAGCGAAATGCGGCGATAGCGTGGAAGAAACTCAAGCCACCATTGAATGTCCAAAAGCATAGCAGCGGAGATGGGATACCGGTAACTAGCTGCATGCTTGCACTCGCGAAGACTGTTAAGGAGTCTGGCCATAAATAATCTACCAGGCTTGACACACGCCGTGACAAACGCGAGCTTCCCAAGAAGGGATTGAAGCTGCTTCTTGGTAAAAAATGAAGATTTTTGCCAGATTGTAAGTTCGGTTCGTAACTCCTCAAGACGTGAAGCGGGGACCTCGAGAGTAAAGACTTCCGTATCAACTAAAATCCCGAGACAGATCATGGAGGTCGAAGGTGGCGTCTCTTTCTCGGGAGAAGAATCTAAACCAAGTTGTTGAAATAATTGACCGAGTTGCGAAAACGCCTGACAAGCAAGAGACTGATATTCGGCTCCGTAAAAGTCATCCAGGTAAACATCTGCTGAAAATCCCTGTTCGTTGAAGATATGCACGACCGCTTTAGTTGTGCGCTGACAAATCAGGGCCGATGAGCGTAAACCAATCTGGATCTTACAAAAGATGTCCTTGCGGTCTGCACAGTCGATTATCAGAGACATTCGATACCTCTATAACTGGTTAATTAACCATCATTAATAAATGACTTCTCAATGAAGATGTGTGGACTGTGTGTTTCAAAGACACATTGATCACAACATTCAGTATTTTCAAAATGGCATTAGTCTGTTGCAATGTATAATTGATTCCAAAATTTAACTTTCCAGTCTCTCTTTTTTTTATTTTCTTGACTGTTTTGTAAAGCAATAACCACAATGTGAAATGTACCTGATTTTTACTTTCTTTAAACATTAGCAAGCAATGAATTTATCTGCAGTGTGTAGTCACAATTTATACAAAAGCACTGGCTCATATATACAACTGTCCATGTGTTGACCTTTTTCTCTTAGATCAGTGTGTGATTAATGTGGTTTATGTTCGTTTGTCATGCCTTAAAGTAATTGGACAGTATGCAACTTTGCGTTGCACCCACTCTTGAATGATTTTTTTTTCACTGCCAGCAAAAGTTGTCTGGTTAGCTTGTATTTTAATTTTTTCGATGAAATGCTTTAACATCACAAACTTTGTGGAAGTTATGATTGATTAGTCTAACAGACCTCATGTCCTCTAATTCAGTCAGTAATCATACTTGTGATTAAGCAAATCGGACTCCCGGTACACAGTTGTCTGATTTTGTTAGAAACCTGTACATGTATTGATTGCAGACCGAATTGGACTCCACACAGTCTTACTGAAATAGTGAAGCTACATGTTATTTGCAGAACCTGTAATTTAGAGCAAATTTTCAGTTGTTGATTGATTATTATTCTTTGACAGGTTAAGTCAAAAAATAAAAAGGAGATTTACTACCAAGTTCAAGCAGTGCCATGGCAGGCAACAAATGCAGCTAAGAATTTACACATTTTAGCCTGTAAACTGGATTTACTGTGTACTTAAACCCTCAACACGGCATTATATGTATGGATTCTTTCATAAATGTCTTGCTAGCCTCCTAAATGCATGTTTAGAACAAGTACATGACTGTATTTCTACATGTTAAATGGATTGAAAACTCAAGGTAATACCATAAACTATTAATGTTCAAGATGTATACTCATTGTTGTTGCCGATTTTTAGTTGCCTTTTTTTCAATAAAATTTTATTGTTGGCCTATGAAGATGCCTCTTTATTGAAACATTATTACTGTACCTTCAAAAATGAAGCATGTACTTTTCAGCCCAGCTTCTGCTTCTTGACATGATATTTTTAACTTTATCACGAAAACCAGGAAAAAACCTTGTTATTGTTTTGTCCTTTGTTTACATATTTTATGATTTGTCATTGTCAACCAGGCTTACCAAGCTTTTAAGCTTTAAATCAAACCAGATTACTAGAAAAAGGTATTGGAGAACCAGGCTTACCACGCTTTTGAGGTGGGAGATTTTTACCATGCTTACCAGGAAAGCCTGGTTAAACCAGGCGCTACTTTTACTAATTAATGCTTTTGCTTTCAGTTAATTGTTTTATTGTTCCACCGCATGAAGCAATACCCCTAAAACAAACGTAAAACAATTGCAATTGGTTCAGAACTTTGCTGACAGGATAGTTCTTGGTCTCCGGAAGTATGATCACATCTCTGAGGGATTGAAGTCACGTAGATGGCTTGCTATTGCCGATAAACTACTTTTAAATGTTTCTGTTATGGTCCATAAATGGCTAAATGGTCTTGCACTAGACTACCTTAGTCAAAAAGTTACACGTAGACTAGCTCATCTCGTCAGAAATACACGATACAAAAAACAATGAATCTACAGAGATGCAGATTAAAAACTGGACAGCGATCTTTCGCCTTTAGAGGGGCTACTTGTTGGAACAAAAACTACCCAAAGACATGGAGGAATTAGCAGTCAAGTACCCAGTCCAGAGCTTCTCCACCTTTGAAATGTTTTGATCCGCGAACCAAAACAAGCAATTACCCAACCACGGAGCAAATTTGGAGTCACATGCATGACGCGAGGCTCGTTTTCATGACAGTCAATACAGAAAAAAAGGAGTAGCCAAGCATACACGATGAGAAAAATTCGGATATGAAAGAAAGTAATGCACACTTTCATTACTCACTAGGATGAACCGTTTGCAGGGAAGGAGAAACGTGACACTAATTTCTGTTTGCATGGTCTACACATCGATAGAGTGGGCCGATCTGTTATTTCACCCTGAATTCGCTAGCCAGGAAGGATATCATGGTTCAGTTTGGGAAAGCGAACTTAGTGAAGACAAAAGTCTAATCATATTGTTTTACTGGTAGGGATGAACTGTTTGCAGAAAGAGGAATACATGTATAATTTTGATATACTTTAGCGAGGATTTCAGTCGCGGCAAAGCCATGTGAAGATTTACTGTGGGCCCAGCGTGACAACATTTAGCAGGCATTCTACCTTGTCATCAGTCTAGGTCGCTACGAAGTCACATGAGATGCGCATGCGCGTTGCTGATCAGTGTGCTTTGCTTTTCACTGGAAAGTACAATATTGTGAGTGATTTCTGCCTTTTTTCAAAGGTAATCTTCAACATTATCATTTTATTTTTACAGTATACGACCAGGAAAGGAAGGCAACCTCCAGTTCTCGGTGACTTACCAGTTTTTTTCTCCACAGTTTGGTCGTTTTCCTCCTAACATGTCTGATGAAGATACCACGCCAAAGGCCCATGCTGCCGACACTGCGGACAGCTCTCCTAGTCAGGAAAATTCTGTTCATGTCTTTAATGGCAAAGACCTGTCTAAATCCCTGGATAATATAAGCAATAACATGGGTAAAATGGCTTGCAGGTTAGCAAAATTGTATGATCCTGGCACAGACGAACGCTCCCCGAGCTTAAAACGAAAGTCCACATCTGACCTTCCGGATTTTTCAGACTCTTACTCCGAGGGAAACTCTCGCCAGTCAGGCAAACGAAAGCGTTATGAAAGCCGAACAGAAGACAACTTAAACTCCACGCTAGTGGTGACGAGCTGGACGACGAAAACGGCATTCAAAGGCTCACCGAGAGTTCAAAGGCCATCGACCAAAAAGAGCGGGAAACTCCCGCTAAGGAAACAAAATTCCTTCAAGATTTTGCCAACAGTTACGACGAGGATGACGCCACCGGTGACAAAATCCAGAAAGAGTTGGCTGCTGTTGCTCAAAAACGATGGGACAAGAAACTGTCCCCCGAAAAAAATTAAAAGTTTGGTCGAAACTCCTCTGACATAAAGGGTATAAAAGTAAATCCCGAGATATGGAGTCAGTTAACTGCCAAACAGAGGAAAACAGACCTGAAGATATCAAATTTCCTCAAATTATCCGCAAAACTACATTTGCAACTTTGCAAACCACAAACATGTTGATGAATAATTCCTTTTTTCCAGAAAATATCAAAATCATGGCACAACAAGTTGACACCATTACAATGTTGGAGCATGTAAACACACAACTTGCCCAGTTGTGAAGAGATTGAAATAAAACCATCACTGAAAGCAGAATAATCTGCCATTTCTTCTACTAAAGTACCCATCAGTAGCCAGTACCTTTTGGGGATGACCTAGCAAAATAATTGCGAGATGCCAAAAAGGCGAGCAAAATTGCATCCACATCTAAAACCGGGCCCTATAAAAGGAAACAGCACAGTTCAAACCAACATGACCGCTGCAGTAAAGGCCCTAAGGAAGATTTTTTACGGAAAGGCCATAATCGGCCCTACAGAAGGAAAAAATTACCAAACATCGAGAAAAAGTAATGGAACAACTGCTTCAAATAAAGGATGAGGTGAGTGGGTTTGAACCTTTTCTGCCTACAATATTGACTTATTTGCAATATCTATGCAACTCATTCAAAGCGGGGCAGGTGGCCACTCACTTTGCAGCTTGGAGGACAATTACTAGTGACAGTGTACTATTGTCTTATGTTTTGGGAGCAAGTATAGAATGTTTTGCAACCCCTGTCCAACACAGACTGCCAAACGAATCTTTTTCAGAGAGTGAGTACCCCATCGTTTGTCATGATGTGCATAAATTGGTTTAGAAAGGTGTCATTGCAAAGACATCACCTATGCCTGGACAAATTTTGTCTAGCATATTTCTCCACCCCAAGAAGGATGGGTCCTATTGCGTTTAAAGTAAAACGACTAGGTTTATCCGGGTATAATTGACACTTAAGTGACGCACTTCCGTTTGATTGTGTAACACTAACTAACCCGCCGTGCTACGGGTCAATCAGTCTCGGTTCGCCTCGCGCTCTACGCCAGCTCGATCTAGTTTTTGATTTTTGAGAATCATGGACGAGCAAACACAAGCGTGGTGCGAGGCCAATGGTTCTACCGGCCACACCGTAAAAGCACTCATTACGGAAGAATTCGTCTCCATGCAAGCTATAAGGGCCATGACAGCCGATGTTATTGCGAGCTTCTCTTTATCCTCTGCACAACGCTGTCTACTGAGAAAAGCTGTTCTTAAGTCTCAGTCACCTCTGCCTCTGCCTCCGCCTGTACCAACATCCACAACTAAGGATGCAAAGAACTGGCCAATGATCTTGACGTACTAGAATCATCTATTTTGGCCTCAGCCCAACAAAAGGACGCCCGTACCGAATCTACCAAGACTTGGGAAAGTAAGTCCTCAAGAACGCGTGCTCACGAGGCTATCTACATAAAACGCGTAGCGACAAGTCAGATTCGAAGGTCAACCCTCTTGATTTGACTTACTCAGAGTTTACTGCTGGCTACTTTTCAATCCTGGATGGTTTTTTACACGGTGGTGATCACGCCCAGGACCAGCAGCTCTGCAGTTACTTGAGCACCTAACCTTCGGCCCTGAGATCGCGGTCGCTTTCGCTCAAGTAATTCTCAAGCTGGCAGCTCCAAGTCTTTCGGAAAACACTGTTACAAATGGAACGAAGATTCTAATAACTGTAGGGGATGCAATTGCACCGACGCGTGTCTCGTGTGCGATTCCACGCAGCATGGCGCTGTGTTTCATCGCTCTCAAACTCCTTCTGGGAAAAAATCTTCCTCTAATTGACCAGCTAATTCACCTATGGCAGAGGCCGACTCATCCTCATCAGACTATTTTTCTGCATCGTACTCTCCAGATCCAAATCTGCTCCCTTACGAGCCATTTTGATACTTGGTGGCGCGAAATGGACTCTGACCCCGATAAAGCCTTCATTCTTGCGGGCATCGCGTATGGCTTTCATCTTGTCAACGATCTTTCTATTGTTTCGCCAGCGGACTGTCACAATTATCGGAGCGCCGAAAATCCTGCCGTAAAACCGGCCCTCGATAAACTCTTTCAGGACGAACTCTGTTTCCATCGCATCGAGGACGTTTTCAACAAACCACTTCGCGTTAACGCTATCGGGAGTGTTAAAAAGAAGGACACTGGCGACCCTCGACCTATTACCGACATAAGCTGAAATTTTCATAACTCTGTCAATGAATATATTTTATGTGAATCTTATCGCTACAAATCTATTGATGATGCCATCGCTCTCATGCGCCCAGACTGCTTCTTCGCCACATGTCCCCGTTTATCTCCCTCATCGCACACTTCAAGGAGTCCGCTGGGCTTTTAATGGTTCTTACAAATTCTTTACAGACAATTTTCTTTGTTTTGGTCTCAAAAATTCCCCAAGTATTTTTCACCGGATTTCCTGTGCGCTCACGCGTATTATGGCTCGAAAAGGCTTCAGTAACATTGTTAATTATTTGGACGATTTTCTCATTGTTGCTTCTTCACGCGAAGAGTGCGTTTGCGCACAACCAAGACTTATTCATCTTCTCCACTCCCTAGGCTTTCAAGTCAATTGTTCTACACTCTCTGGCCACTCAAAACGTGTAAAATTCCTCGGAATTATTCTCGATTCAATTGCTATGCAGGCCTTTGTCCCCGAGGACAAGATTTCAGCCTTAGAAGATCAACTTACTTTCCTCATTTCTCATCGCAAAGCTTCCAAGCGGGACTTACAGCGAGTCGCCGGGCTCGATCATGAACTTTCTAGCTAAAGTCGTTAAAGTAGGGCGAACCTTTTGCGTCGCGTTCTTGACTTTATTATTCGCTTGAAACGCCCCTTTTATAAAGCTCGTATTACTTCAGACCCCCGAAAGGACTTCTGTTGGTGGCTAAACTGTTGTCGTGTGTTTAACGGCAAGGCTATTAATATTTACTACTCGCCTATTGTTGAACACGCTTACAACGATGCGTCCCTTTCGGGTTTTGGTACTCTCATTGGCTTGCTGGCGTCTGGTCCTCCGACAACTTGGTGCTCCCGAGTCTTTGCATGTCCGGAAATTGGTTTCACACAACTGGTCATCTCGAAATTCCGTTCCCCCTCAAAACGAACGTAAACTACCTTGAACTGCACGCGGCGTTACAAGCAATCCGTAGGTGGTCTCCGCATTGGGCGAACTGTCACGATTGTTTACACACAGGTAATACACAGGCCATGTCTCTCCTGAATAAGGGTTCGTGCAAAAGCCCTGCTGCTATGGACTGGTTACGTGAAATATTCTGGTTACCAGCCACCTACAACTTTCGCATGACTTCTCGTCACATTACTGGCCTCTCAAACGTCTTTGCTGACCGCTTATCTCGTGTTACAGAAATCTCTATCCCCTGAATACCGCCTTTGCTATATGTGGTCTAATTGGGCCCCTTCTCCTTCTCTCCTAGATCTTGGCGATTCTCTCGACGACGCCGTTGTCTCGGCAATTTCCAGCGCTTATGTCTCTTCCACTCTCGCCACTCGCAAGTCTCAAGCCCGGAAATACCTCCAATTTTGCCGCCTGCTTCAGACGTCCCCATTTCCTATTTCGGTCAGGAACCTTTGTCGCTACTGTGTGAAGAGGTTTAATGAGGTAGTCAGCCACTATCATTTTAAATTGGACGCGCTTTCCACCATAACAAAACTTGTAACCAAAAACTGTTTTACGGCTGCTATTGACTTAAAAGATACCTATTATTCCATTCCCATCAGATCTTTAGATCGCAAATTTTTACGCTTTATTCGGGAGGGCACCTTATATGAGTTCGCTTGCCTTCCCAATGGTTTGTCATGTGCTCCGAGGATTGTCACTAAAATCCTTAAAACCCACTTTCCTCTTTGCACAAGCAAGGTCACATAGCTGTCGCACATCTTGATGACCTTTACTTTCAAGGACAAACCTATGACAAATGTGTCAGAAATTTTGTAGACACCACTGTATTGCTTGACAAATTAGAGTTGGTTGTACATCCTGAGAAGTCTGTTTTCATACCCACCCAAGTCCTCACGATTCAATTCTGGGGTTTGTATTAAATTCAGTAACAATGACACTACAGCTTACCAGGGGAAAAGCCGCTGGTTTACAAAGGGTTTGCACAGAGTTATTAGCATGCCCATCTCCATCTATAAGAGAAGTGGCAAGTGTCATTGGTAAAATTGTTTCTAGCTTCCCAGGGGGCATGCATGGAGTCCTTTACTACCGACACCTGGAAAAAGACAAATCGCAAGCCCTTCAGAGGACAAAGGGCAATTTTAATGCCTCGATGTCTCTATCCAGTCCTGCTAAATCTGAATTACAATGGTGGATCAACAATTTCGCAACTGCGTAATGTGATAAACCACCCACAACCCCAACATTAAATAACAACAGATGCTTCCCTCACGGGTTGGGGATTGAATCTGCAGGGGTGTCCACAGGTCTAATTCAGAGTCGAAACACCACAACAACTATTTGGAAATGTTAGTTATTCTTTTAGGCCTCCAGACCTTTGCTAAAGGAAAAAGCAACACACATATGAGAATAATGTGTGATAACACTACGACAGGGAATGTCATTATCCACATGGGAACAAGTCACTCTCATCCTTGTAATTCTGTAGTTAAAGAGAATTGGGAATGGTGCATAGCTCGCCAGATATGAATCAGTGCAGCGCTTATCCCTGGGAAAAATAACCTAATTGCAGACTTTGAATCCAGAAGAAACCAAAGAGAATCTGAGTAGCAGCTTGACAAAGTATCTCTTTGTAATGCCCTTGAGACACTAGATTTCACGTCAGATATTGACTTATTTGCCTCTCGTATTAACCACCAATTTCCAAAATATGTGTATTTTAGATCTGACCCTGAGGCCTTTGCCATTGATGCTTTTAGCCTAGATTGGTCTAATTTATGCCTTCCCTCCTTTCAGTGTTATTCCAACAGTGCTAAGCAAACTAAAGTGTGAGGGAGCAATGGGGATTTGTGTGTTGCCAGACTGGCCAACACAGGCGTGGTACCCCGCAGCTCTTGAATTACCGAGGGAAAAACCAGTACACCTCAAGGCAAGAAAAGATCTACTTCAGTTGGCCAGCAATCCGAAGGAAACTCATCCACATTGCACAAGTTGAACTTCTTCGTTTATCTCTTATCCGGGAGGGATTGAACCAGTATGATTTGTCACTATGTGCAAAAGACGTGTTTATGGCCTCATGGAGGGAAGGTACCTCCAAGCAGTGCCAAAATTACATTACCAAATGGCGACAATACTGTAGAGAAAGGAAAACTGATGTTTTTGAGCCTGGTATAACTAATGGCATTGAGTTCAATGTTTCTTGATTCAAAGCAGAAATGGGGTATAGTCCTATAAACACAGCGCGTTCTGGGTTTCCCTCTGTCCTTACCCTGAAGGATGGAGTCAAGTTTAGAGAACACCCACTAGTAGTCCGCTGCTTGAAAGGGATTTTTGAGTTCAAACCAGCATTGCCCAAATATACCGATGTAAATATTGTATTAAAATATTTAAGAATTTTCGAGTCCGTAAGCTCTTTATCTTTTAAGGAACTTACTTTAAATCTGACCATGCTACTCTGCCTCACAACTGGGCAGAGAGGACAGACCATACACAAGACGGATCTCAGCTACATTCGAGAAATGGACGGCAGATACCGAATAACTATATGTGATACACTGAAGCAGACTAAACCTGGAAGACATTTAGAACCCATTGACTTATTTGCTTATCCAAACGATAAGAAACTCTTTGTGATTGAACATCTAAAGGAATATTTACATCGCACAGAACAGTTACGTAAGGGACACTCGAAGTTACTGTTAAGCTATGTCAAACCATTCAAACCTGTATCAAAAGATACCATTTCCAGGAGGATTAAGCAAGTATTAGAAGGCAGCTGGTATTGACATTAAGAAGCAAAGCAGCATCCACATCCAGTTGCAAGGCTAAAGGTTTAAACCTATCAGAGATTATGAAAAGTGCAGAATGGTCTAATTCGAGCGCTTTCCCCAGATTTTATGATAAATCTGTTGACACCGCTCAAGCAAATTTCGGCTCAGTATTGTTAAATTAGGAAATAGTGTTGTCTTTGTTCATCACGTTCTGCGAATAAAAAACTGTTTACATTGGAAGGGTAGCTCGTTCTACAGGACTTTGAAATCTCATGTGACCCCGTAGTGACGTAGACTGATGACAAGGTAGAATTATAAAATTTGACGAGACTTACCCGTAAGTTGAAGTTTGATCACGATTCTATCTTGTCATCAGTTCGGAATGAGGGAGTCACATGCCCTTATTGTACCCTTCCTCCGGTCTCCTTCGTTACTTTTTTCCTTTGTCACTCACGTTGAATACTGATTAGCAACGCGCATGCGCATCTCATATGACTCCAACCTATTCCGGTCGGAGCAAGGGAGAAAGAGAAAAATGATAGTCGGGGAATTCGTCGGGCACGACCACTAAAGCAAGCTGCTGAAAGTTTATACCCTAAAAGAGATTGGTCAGTCGTGTGTATGTAAGAAACCGTGCGCGAGTTTATCAAAATTCTTATGTGACTTCTAGGCTTTCGGTGATATTTCTATATTTGGTTTGGTTTTCTTTGAGCTCAAGTCTTTTATGGGAATTGCGAGACAATGGAGTCGTGAAAAATTTGCAATTTGTCCTTATAGCTTCGGAGTCATCTTGAAATTTTAATATATCCAACTTGGGCTAATAATTATCAAGGAGCAGTCATAGTTGAAACGAAAAGAAAACCCTCCTTAAAGCGACATGTCCTCATCAGACATGTCGTAGCTGTTAGCCTTTAGTGCAGAAAGGTTCTAGGAAATTGCTCGGAGAAGCAATCAACTTCTTCGCCTATCAGTGAGTGTATCACACAATTTATAAATACGACCATAATCAAGTATGAAGTAGGAGACAAATGGGGGTTTTCCTAAGGTTATGAACACAGCAATCGTACTTACAGTTCTTTTAACTTCTTAAGCCTGTTGAATATACCAGATGGTATGCTACGTATTTTGTTGTTGCTGAGGTCACTGAAATCGAGAAAGATTGTAAAGTACCTGACAATTTCAATCAGGGCGTAAGAATTGATATCCAGTTGGTAAAGAAGTAACTTGTGAGGGACAGAAAACTGGCTGGCAAGTGAGAAATCGATATAGACAAAACGCTGGAAGAATGTTAAAGACAATTATACTTACAGGTAGGTAAGGAACTCCAAACTGTCAAACATACCCCAATAAAGACTCTCAATCGCGTGTGAATGCATTTCACTGTTAGAAAGGACACACACAAAAAGTGAAATTACGGAATTTAAGTTAGCCTAGTTTAAGTATGTGAGCGTTAAAAAATTGTTGCTAACGATCGAAAGAGATCAAGCCCGACGCCCGACGCCCGACGCCCGCCCCCTCGCTGCATATGAAACCAATATGGCCGGTGGTAAAGATAAATGCTCCAGCAATCCTGACGATCTTACGAAAACATAGGGGACTGTGAACAGTCTATATTAGGCCACAGATAAACAAGTTGTTTTGAAATAAAGGTTTGCAATGCAACTGCATGCAGTAATTAACTGTAAATAAAGGAACGGATCGTCTACTCTACAACTCTTGCATCTGCTTAATCTGCAACTCTTTTGGAACACTTGACAAGATTTGATAAATCATGATTAAGAACATGTACGTTCGGTAAATTTAAGATTTTTTTTCATGGCTTATGGATTGTAGTTAGTGACCTCATTTTATTTACCCGGCGAATGGTAAACTAAATTTGGGACTAGTAAATTTAGTTCATGAACAGCGGTTTTTCATTTGCATAAATCATTCCCAGTCACTGAGAAAAGTTTTGAAGAAGAGGGACATGAAATCCTAATATCCTCCTGGAAATTTTCCAGTATAATGACGCAAGAAGTAAAGTTGCATTTTCGACTTTTCATCCGGAATATAATTTCTTGGTAAATGCACCATTTTCTGCAATAATATTCCCCGCTCAAATACCCCTCCTAGTTAGTCTTAAAGAGGTAAATACCGTGAGAAAAAATTCCAAATCATTGAAAGCTAAAAAGCCAATTTAATACTTACAGTCGTAAGAGAGACCGCAAATTCATGAATGTTTCATTGTGAAGCTCTTTAATCAAGTTGTCAGGAAAACATATGTCATTATTAAGGGACCTCAGCAAAATAAAAAGAAATGGTATATAAGTAAGAGTTCGAAAAACATGCTTACGCCCACTGCAAAGCAGTAGATTTAGCATAAATAAGGGTATGTTGTAGACCCTAATCGTGACGATGATTGCTAAATCAGACGATAAGTTTGTGACCCACAATATGAAATGGGGCAATACAGATCAGATCAGAACACAATTCTGTCACCGCATATCTGCATTAAATTATTTTATATGTAAATAGAGGAAAAATGTTCTGGGGTGTGTGTATTAGTAATGCTACGAGTGAGTGTGATGTATACACGTCTTGTTTTTTATTGTTTTGTATTTTTGGGTGTTTACTGTGCAAAACATTGGAATACATGAAATTATTTAAAAATCAAATTCAAGTTTATCAAAATACAAAAAAGAAACCTGTTTTGGAAATCTTAAGTGAATTACTTTCTCAGTTGTGTGCTCGTGGGATTGCGAGCAGGCATAATAAATCGGAGGATGCTTTAATACTTACAGTTGCTGCAGAATACTCAGATTTTTGAAAATGTCTTTTGGTAAACGCTGCAGTCTATTACAGTCTAAATTCCTTTTTAAAAACAACAAACCAAAATGAGCAATAAAAAATCACTAAAGGGCGATTAAAAACAACTGCCTAGTAAATACCCTGTTCCTTACTGAAAGGCAAATTAATGAATAAAAATGGATTCACAGAATAACACCAAGTTATCAAACCACGTAATTAAAAAAAGCGCATGAAATAAACTCTCAAAAAAAAAAGCTTTGCGGTCGACTCTCTTCATCACAACTACCATCTCAATAGCCTATTAGCCATGTTCTAAACCAGGGGGGGACTTCCATTTGATAGGGGTGGAGATTTTGGTCGCGCTTAGGGTGTTCTGGGCAAAACACCATTATATTTAGCCGAAAAGGTCTCTTTTAGGGTTGCACTCAAAGAAGTATTAAAAGGTTATATATGTTCAATTCGTTTTATTTACTCGATTCATGTAATCAAAGTTCAAAATGATCGCTTTTAGGGGTCAAAAAAAGGTTGGGCCTCGCCCAGACTGATCTCCTTCAAGGGTTTAATTTAAAATTTCCGACAAGCATCCACACCCCTTACATATGGGAGTCCCTCCCGGTTTCTAAACGTGCAGAAGACTGGTATGACCGAGACTGCATAGGCTTTAGGAATCTTTAGAAGGAGGAGAAAAAGCATTGAGGACAGTAGCAAGCCACCTGTTACCTCAAGGTTATTCTAGCTGTAAAACACATACCAGGAAAGTCTTTAAGGAATACTGTAATAACGAAGGATAGTTGCATTTCTGAAACTATTATAATGCAGTTTGGAACACAGCACTTGTGGTACGCCAAGTTTTTTAACCTTCATGCTGCCCCTGCAAACGATCCCCTTGTGCAAAAGTGCTCATTATTGAAGGTTGGATTGAAAGAACAATATTATGCAACAGCTGAGCCTGGGCCTATATACTTGAGCCTAATCATCCACGTCGCTCGGTCGGCGGGGCGGAAAAGAAAGGGGAGCTTGCAATTACACCCCTGGAATTTGAATTCCACCTCCAATTCTCCTGTGGCTCCCCGTTGACTGAGCTGTCAGATTTCTCGCAATCAGAGCGAAGTGGAAAAGAGTGCGAATGTAAACAACCATTGAAAAGCACGTGCCAAGGGTAATGACGTTATTACTAATGTCTTCTCCGCCAATCACCATTTCGCATCGCCTTTTTCGATGCAGATATTCAAAATCCAGCGACGTAGTTATAAGCTCTCCTTTCGTTTCCCGCCCCGCCGCCAGAGCGCCCCGGAGAACTTGCTCTCAGGCTAGAGCCTCATATGCCCCCACAAGCTATTTATCGACTGAAGGAAGATCATCCTATATAATGAAAATAATAATAGTAATAATAATAATAATATTATTAATAATAATAATAATAATAATGATAATGATAATAAAACTTTAAGTTTAGATTTTTAGAGGTGTGAAGAATAACAGTTCTGGTAACATGATTTAAGAATGTTATTCGCATGACTTTTTCCGCATAAAGTTACCTCCTGAAGTTACCTTATAAACTACTTATTCTCATATCAACTCACAATACACGGAGCTCTTTTAGATCTGAAAATGCGTCTGACGGAATGTGGTCGATTTTATTCAGTCCTAGATTCCTAGAGGGAAGAAAAGAAACCAAATATTCAGTGAGTCTCTTTTGCGGGTTTGCATTAACAGAGAAATAGATTTATTTACTGATATTTTAGTTGTGAGCAGAAAACCTTAATTCTTAGCTAGAACTGCAGCGAACATTGAATTGGTCTGAAAGAAAAATAATGGCCCTCAACACCTTACAATACACGCAACTGTTGCGTTGTTAGCTATTTATTTCACATATCGCTGCGTTCGCTGTACTATAGTATGATTTTTTCAGGAAAAGTGAGTGATATATTTAATCTTGGAGCTCGTAGTCAAGTACCCAGTCCATAGCTTTTCCACTTTTCAAATGTTTTGATCTCTGAACCAAAGCAAGCAATTACCGAATCACGGATCAATTTTTGTGTCACATGACGCGAGGCCTGTTTTCATGACACTCAATTCGAAAAAAAGGAGTAGTCAAGCATAGGAGGTGAAAAAAAAAATCAAATATGAAAGAAAGTTATAAACCTTTTCATTACTCACTGTGGAGAACCGTTTGCAACAAAAGAGAAACGTCTCGTTATTTTCTGTTTGCATGGGCTAAATAGCGATAGAGTGGGCCGATAAGTTATTTCACACTGATCTCGGTAGCCAGGAAGGATATTATGCTTCAGTTTGGGAAAGCGAACTTTGTGAAGGCAAAAGTCTAATCATATTTTTTACTGGTAGGGATGACCTTTTTTTTGAAAGAGGAGTATAATTTTGATATCCTTTAGCGAGTATTTCAGCCAAGTGAAGATTTACTGAAATCATTCCCATTCAGTAAGAAAAGGTTTGAAGAAGAGGGACATAAAATCCTATTTTCTCTCGGAACTTTTCCAGTAGAATGACGCAAGAAGTAATGTTGCATCTTCGACTTTCCATCTCGTATATAAATTTTTGTAAATGCGCCATCACCTACAATAATATTCCCTGCTGAAATACCCTTCCTAGCCAGTCTTACAGAGGTAAAAACTGTGACGAAAATTCCAAATCATTGAAAGCTAAGGAAGCCAATTTAATACTTAAAGTCGTAAGAGCGACCGCTAATTCATGATTATCTCAGTGTGAAGCTCTTTAATCACGTTGCCAGAAAAATCTCTGATGAGTTTAAAAAGGTTCATTATTAAGGGACCTCAACAAAATAGCAAAAAATGCTATATAAGTAAGAGTTCGAGAAACATGCTTACGGCCACTGCAAGCAATAGTTTTAGCACAAGTAAGGGTATATTGTAGACCCTTAATCGAGACAATGATTGCTAAATCAGACGATAAGTTTGTGACCCACAATATGAAACGGGGCAATACATATCATGTTAGTACACGATTCTCTCGCCGCATATCTACATTATATCATTTTACATGTAAATACAGGAAAAATGTTCTGGGGTGTGTGTATCAGTATGTCACGAATGTGTGTGATGTATATATGTGTCTAGTTTTTAATTGTTTTGTATGTTTTGGTATTTACTGTGCAAAAAGTGGAATACATGAAATTATTTAAGAAACAAATTCAAGTTTATCAAAATACAAAGAAGAGACCTGTTTTGCTAATCTTAAGTGGATTGCTTTCTCAGTTGAGTGATGGTGGGATTGCGAGCAGGTATAATAAATCGAAGGATGCTTTAATACTTACAGTTGCTGCAAAGTACTCAGATTTTTGAAAATGTCTTTTGGTAAATGCTGCAGTCTATTAGACTCTAAATTCCTTTTAAAAACAACAAACCAAAATAAGCAATATAAAAATCACTAAAGGAAGATTAAAAACAATTGCCTAAGAAAAACCTCGTTCCTTACTGATAGGCAAATGAATGAAATTGGATTCACAAAATAACATGAGGTTCCCAAACATGTAATTAAAAGAGCGCATGAAATAAACTATGAAAAAAAAAAGCTTATTAATAAGTGTGTATAAGATATTTTGCGATAACTGATAATCTATATGTTCCTTCTCCCTTTAAACAAGTGAGGATGAGGTGCTCTAGCCCGGAAACATGGATCTATCGCTCGCCGGAGTAAAGTATTGATCTACTTACAGGATTTGTAGGTTGGATAGTGCTCCAAACGTCCCCACAGGTAGGTCTTCAATTTTATTCAATTCAAGCTTTCTGTGAAATGAAAACAGTTTTAATGCATAGTTATGTAGATAATCATGTGCATGTAATTGGGAAACGTTTTTCGGAAACATAAAAAAAGAAAGATTTTAGAGTTGCATTTTACAAAGTTCCTTTACGGTCGACTCTCTTCATCACAACTACCACCTTAATAGCCAATCAGCCATGTTCTAAACCTGGGGGGGACGGGGGGACTTCCACTTGATAGGGGCGGGGATGCTCGTCGTCTCGCTTAGGGCTGTAAATTTCAGATTTTGGTCTCGCTTAGGGTGTTCTGGGCAAAACACCATTATATTTAACCGTAAAGGTCTCTTTTAGGGTTGCACTCAAAGAAGTATTAAAAAGTTATATATGTTCAATTCGTTTTATTTACTCGCTTCATGTAATCAAAGTTGAAAATGATCGCCTTTAGGGGTCAAAAAAAGGTTGGGCCTCGCCCAGATTGATCTCCTTCAGGGGTTTAATTCAAAATTTCCGACGAGCATCCCCACCCCTTTCATATGGGAGTCTCCCCCTGGTTTCTAAACGGGCCGGGGACTGGTATGACCGAGACTGTATAGGCTCTAGGAATCTTTAGAAGGAGGAGAAAAAGCATTGCGGACAGTAGCAAGCCACCTGTTACCTCAAGGTTATTCTAGCTGTAAAACACATACCAGGTGAGTCTTCAAGGAATACTGTAATAACGAAGGATACTTGCATTTCTAAAACTATTATAATGCAGTTTGGAACACAGCACTGGTGGTACGCCATGTTTTTTAACCTTCATGCTGCCCCTGCAAACGATCCTCTCGTGCAAAAGTGCTCATTATTGAAGGTTGGATTGAAAGAACAATATTATGCAACAGCTGAGCCTGGGCCTATATACTTGAGCCTAATTAGACTGGGAGCAAGCTCTCCAGGTCGCTCGGTCGGCGGGGCGGAAAAGAAAGGGGAGCTTGCAATTACACCCCTGGAATTTGAATTCCACCTCCAATTCCCCTGTGGCTCCCCGTTGACTGAGCTGTCAGATTTCCCGCAATCAGAGGAAAGTGGAAAAGAGTGCGAATGTAATCAACCATTGAAAAGCACGTGCCAAGGGTAATGACGTTATTACTACTGTCTTCTCCACCAATCAGCATTTGGCATCGCCTTTTTCGATGCAGATATTCCAAAACCAGCGACGTAGTTGTATGCTCTCCTTCCGTTTCCCGCCCCGCCGCCAGAGCGCCCCGGAGAACTTGCTCTCAGGCTAGAGCCTCATATGCCCCCACAAGCTATTTATCGACTGAAGGAAGATCATCCTATATAATAATAATAATAGTAATAATAATAATAATAATATTAATAATAATAATAATAATAATAATAATAATAATAATGATAATAAAACTTTAAGTTTAGATTTTTAGAGGTGTGAAGAATAACAGTTCTGGTAACATGATTTAACAATGTTATTCGCATGACGTTTTCCGCATTAAGTTACCTCCTGCAGTTACCTTATAAACTACTTATTCTCATATCAACTCACAATACACGGAGCTCTTTTAGATCTGAAAATGCGTGTGAGGGAATGTGATCGATTTTATTCCATACAAGATTCCTAGAGGGAAGAAAAGAAACCAAATATTCAGTTAGTCTTTTTTTCGGGTTTGTAGTAACAGAGAAATAGATTTATTTACTGATGTGTTAGCTTGTGTGCAGAAAACCTTAATTCTTAGCTAGAACTGCAGCGAACATTGAATTGGACTGAAAGAAAAATAATGGCCCTCAACACCTTACAATACACGCAACTGTTGCGTTGTATGCTATTTATTCCACATATCGCTGCGTTCGCTGTACTATAGTATGATTTTTTCAGGAAAAGTGAGTGATATATTTAATCTTGGAGTTGGTAGTCAAGTACCCAGTCCAGAGCTTTTCCACTTTTCAAATGTTTTGATCCGTGAATCAAAGCGAGCAATTACCCAATCACGGGTCAGTTTTAGTGTCACATGACGCGAGGCCTGTTTTCATGACAGTCAATACGAAAAAAAGGAGTAGTCAAGCATAGGAGGTGAAAAAAAAAATCAAATATGAAAGAAAGTTATAAACCTTTTCATTACTCACTGTGGAGAACCGTTTGCAACAAAAGAGAAACGTCTCGTTATTTTCTGTTTGCATGGGCTAAATAGCGATAGAGTGGGCCGATAAGTTATTTCACACTGACCTTGGTAGCCAGGAAGGATATTATGCTTCAGTTTGGGAAAGCGAACTTTGTGAAGGCAAAAGTCTAATCATATTTTTTACTGGTAGGGATGACCTTTTTTTTGAAAGAGGAGTATAATTTTGATATCCTTTAGCGAGGATTTCAGCCAAGTGAAGATTTACTGAAATCATTCCCATTCAGTAAGAAAGGGTTTGAAGAAGAGGGACATAAAATCCTATTTTTTCCCGGAACTCATCAAGTAGAATGACGCAAGAAGTAATGTTGCATTTTCGACTTTCCATCCTGTATATAAATTTTTGTAAATGCGCCATCACCTACAATAATATTCCCTGCTGAAATACCCTTCCTAGCCAGTCTTACAGAGGTAAATACTGTGACGAAAATTCCAAATCATTGGAAGTTAAGGAAGCCAATTTAATACTTAAAGTCGTAAGAGCGACCGCAAATTCATGATTATCTCGGTGTGAAGCTCTTTAATCACGTTGCCAGAAAAATCTCTGATGAGTTTAAAAAGGTTCATTATTAAGGGACCTCAACAAAATAGCAAAAAATGCTATATAAGTAAGAGTTCGAAAAACATGCTTACGGCCATTGCAAGCAATAGTTTTAGCACAAGTAAGGGTATATTGTAGACCCTAATCGAGACAATGATTGCTAAATCAGACGATAAGTTTGTGACCCACAATATGAAACGGGGCAATACAGATCATGTTAGTACACGATTCTCTCGCCGCATATCTACATTATATTATTTTACATGTAAATACAGGAAAAATGTTCTGGGGTGTGTGTATCAGTATGTCACGAATGTGTGTGATGTATATATGTGTAGTTTTTAATTGTTTTGTATTTTTTGGTATTTACTGTGCAAAAAGTGGGATACATGAAATCATTTAAGAATTAAATTCAAGTTTATTAAAATACAAAAAAGAGACCTGCTTTGCTAATCTTAAGTGGATTCCTTTCTCAGTTGAGTGATGGTGGGATTGCAAGCAGGTATAATAAATCGGAGGATGCTTTAATACTTACAGTTGCTGCAAAGTACTCAGATTTTTGAAAACGTCTTTTGGTAAATGCTGCAGTCTATTAGACTCTAAATTCCTTTTAAAAACAGCAAAACAAAATAAGCAATATAAAAATCACTAAAGGGAGATTAAAAACAATTGAGTAGGAAAAACAAGAACCCCGTTCCTTACTGATAGGCAAATGAATGAAATTGGATTCCCAGAATAACATGAGGTTCTTAAACATGTAATTAAAAGAGCGTATAAAATAAACTATGAAAAAAAAAGCTTATCAATAAGTGTGTATAAGATATTTTTCGATAACTGATAATCTATCTGTTCCTTCTCCCTTCAAACAAATGAGGATGAGGTGCTCTAGCTCTGAAACATGAATCTAGCGCTCGCCGGAGTAAAGTATTGATCTACTTACAGGATTTGTAGGTTGGATAGTGCTCCAAACGTCCCCACAGGTAGGTCTTTAATTTTATTATATTCAAGCTTTCTGTCAAATGAAAACAGTTTTAATGCATAGCTATGTGGATGAGCATGTGCATGTAATTGGGAAACGTTTTTGGGAAAGATAAAAAAAGAAAGATTTTAGAGTTGCATTTTACAAAGTTCCTTTACGGTCGACTCTCTTCATCACAACTACCACCTTAATAGCCAATCAGCCATGTTCTAAACCTGGGAGGGGGGGTGGGGACTTCCACTTGATAGGAGCGGGGATGCTCGTCGTCTCGCTTAGGGGTGTAAATTTCAGATTTTGGTCTCGCTTAGGGTGTTCTGGGCAAAACACCATTATATTTGACCGTAAAGGTCTCTTTTAGGGTTGCACTCGAAGAAGTATTTAAAAGTTATATATGTTCAATTCGTTTTATTTACTCGATTCATGTAATCAAAGTTTAAAATGATCGCTTTTAGGGGTCAAAAAAGGTTGGGTCTCGCACAGATTGATCTCCTTCAGGGGTTTAATCAAAATTTCCGACGAGCATCCCCACCCTTTCATATGGGAGTCTCCTCCCGTTTTCTAAACGGGCCGGGGATTGGTATGACCTAGACTGCATAGGCTCTAGGAATCTTTAGAAGGAGGAGAAAAAGCATTGCGGACAGTAGCAAGCCACCAGTTACCTCAAGGTTATTCTAGCTGTAAAAGACATACCTGGTGAGTCTTTAAGGAATACTCTAATAACGAAGGATAGTTGCATTTCTGAAAATATTATAATGCAGTTTGGAACACAGCACTTGTGGTACGCCATGTGTTTTAACCTTCATGCTGCCCCATCAAACGATCCCCTTGTGCAAAAGTGCTCATTATTGAAGGTTGGATTGCAAGAACAATATTATGCGATAGCTGACCCTGGGCCTATATCCTTGAGCCTAATTAGACTGGGACCAAGCTCTCCAGGTCGCTCGGTCGGCAGGGCGGAAAAGAAAGGGGAGCTTGCAATTACACCCCTGGAATTTGAATTCCACCTCCAATTCCCCTGTGGCTCCCCGTTGCCTGAGCTGTCAGATTTCCCCCAATCAGAGGGAAGTGGAAAAGAGTGCGAATGTAAACAACCATTGAAAAACACGTGCCAAGGGTAATGATGTTATTACTAATGTCTTCTCCGCCAATCACCATTTGGCATCGCCTTTTTCGATGCAGATATTCAAAATCCAGCGACGTAGTTGTAAGCTCTCCTTTCCTTTCCCGCCTTGCCGCCAGAGCGCCCCGGAGAACTTGCTCTCAGGCTAGAGCCTCATATGCACCCAGAATCTATTTATCGACTGAAGGAAGATCATCCTATATAGTAATAATAATAATAGTAATAATAATAATAATAATAATATTAATAATAATTATTAAATTTTAAGTTTAGATTTTTAGAGGTGTGAAGAATAACAGTTCTGGTAACATGATTTAACAATGTTATTCGCATGACTTTTTCCGCATTAAGTTACCTCCTGTAGTTACCTTACAAACTACTTATTCTAATATCAACTCACAATACACGGAGCTTTTTTAGATCTGAAAATACTTCTGATAGAATGTGGTCGATTTCATTCGATCCTAGATCCCTAGAGGGAATAAAAGAAACCAAATATTCAGTGAGTCTCTTTTTCGGGTTTGTAGTAACAGAGAAAGAGATTTATTTACTGATGTGTTAGCTTGTGTGCAGAAAACCTTAATTCTTAGCTAGAACTGCAGGAAACATTGAATTGGTCTGAAAGAAAAATAATGGCCCCCAACACCTTACAATACACGCAACTGTTGCGTTGTTAGCTATTTATTCCACATATTGCTGCATTCGCTGTACTATAGTATGATTTTTTCAGGAAAAGTGAGTGATATATTTAATCTTGGAGTTGGTAGTCAAGTACCCAGTCCAGAGCTTTTCCACTTTTCAAATGTTGTGATCCGTGAACCAAAGCAAGCAATTACCCAATCACGGATCAATTTTTGTGTCACATGACGCGAGGCCTTTTTTCATGACAGTCAATTCGGAAAAAATGAGTAGTCAAGCATCGGAGGTGAAAAAAAAAAATCAGATGTGAAAGAAAGTTATAAACCTTTTCGTTACTCAATGTGGAGAACCGTTTGCAACAAAAGAGAAACGTCTCGTTAATTTCTGTTTGCATGGGCTAAATAGCGATAGAGTGGGCCGATAAGTTATTTCACACTGACCTCGGTAGCCAGGAAGGATATTATGCTTCAGTTTGGGAAAGCAAACTTTGTGAAGGCAAAAGTCTAATCATATTTTTTACTGGTAGGGATAAACTTTTTTTGAAAGAGGAGTATAATTTTGATATCTTTTAGCGAGGATTTCAGCCAAGTGAAGATTTACTGAAATCATTCCCATTCACTAAGAAAAGGTTTGAAGAAGAGGGACATAAAAACCTATTTTCTCCCGGAACTTTTCCAGTAGAATGACGCAAGAAGTAATGTTGCTTTTCGACTTTCCATCTCGAATATAATTTTTTTTGGTAAATGTGCCATCATCTGCGATAATATTCCCTACAGAAATACCCTTCCTAGCTACTCTTACAGAGGTAAATACTGTGAGGAATATTCCAAATCATTGGAAGCTGAGGAAGCCAATTTAATACTTACAGTCGTAAGAGGGACCGCAAATTCATGAATGTCTCATTGTGAAGCTCTTTAATCACGTTGCCAGAAAAATCTCTGATGAGTTTAAAAAGGTTCATTATTAAGGGACCTCAACAAAATAGCAAAAAATGCTATATAATTAAGAGTTCGAAAAACGTGCTTACGGCCACTGCAAGCAATAGATTTAGCGCAAGTAAGGGTATATTGTAGACCCTAATCGAGACAATGATTGCTAAATCAGACGATAAGTTTGTGACCCACAATATGAAACGGGGCAATACAGATCATGTTAGTACACGATTCTCTCGCCGCATATCTACACTACATTATTTTACATGTAAATACAGGAAAAATGTTCTGGGGTGTGTGTATCAGTATGTCATGAATGTGTGTGATGTATATATGTGTCTAGTTTTTAATTGTTTTGTATGTTTTGGTGTTTACTGTGCAAAAAGTGGAATACATGAAATTATTTAAGAATCAAATTCAAGTTTATCAAAATACAAAGAAGAGACCTGTTTTGCTAATCTTAAGTGGATTGCTTTCTCATTAGAGTGATGGTGGGATTGCGAGCAGGTATAATAAATCGGAGGATGCTTCAATACTTACAGTTGCTGCAAAGTACTTAGATTTTTGAAAATGTCTTTTGGTAAATGCTGCAGTCTATTAGACTCTAAATTCCTTTTAAAAACAACAAACCAAAAGATGCAATATAAAAATCACTAGAGGGAGATTAAAAACAATTACCTAGGAAAAAGATGAACCTCGGTCCTTACTGATAGGCAAATGAATGAAAATGGATTCACAGAATAACATGAGGTTCCCAAACATGTAATTAAAAGAGCGCATGAAATAAACTATGAAAAAAAAGCTTATTAATAAGTGTGTATAAGATATTTTGCGATAACTGATAATCTATATGTTCCTTCTCCCTTTAAACAAGTGAGGATGAAGTGCTCTAGCCCTGAAACATGGATCTATCACTCGCTTGAGTAAAGTATTGATCTACTTACAGGATTTGTAGGTTGGATAGTGTTTCAAACGTCCCCACAGGTAGGTCTTCAATTTTATTCAATTCAAGCTTTCTGTGAAATGAAAACAGTTTCAATGCATAGTTATGTGGATGAGCATGTGCAAGTAATTGGGAAACGTTTTTGGGAAAGATAAAAAAAAAGATTTTAGAGTTGCATTTTACAAAGTTCCCTTTTCTAAATACGGTCGACTCTCTTCCCAAATACACATTAATTGTCTATTAGCCAAAAAGGCCTTTTTTAGGGTTTGCACGCGAAGAAATATTAAAAAATAATATATATTCAATTCGTTTTATTTACTCGATTTATGTAATCAAAGTTTAAAATGATCGCTTTTAGGGGTCAAAAAAACGTTGGGACACCCCCAGATTGGTCTCCTTCAGGGGTTTTTCAAAATGTCCGCCCCTTTCATATGGGAGTACCTCAGCGGTTCTAAACGAGCCGGGGACTGGTACAACCTATGACTGCATAGGCTCTAGGCATCGTTAGAAGGTGGAGAAAAAGCATTTCGGACAGGAGCAAGCCAGCTGGAGTTTGAATTCCACCTCCAATTCCCCTGTGGCTCCCCGTCGACTGAGCTGTCAGATTGCCCCCATGCAATCAGCTCGAAGCGGAAAAGAGTGCGAACGTAAAAAAACATTGAAAAACACGTGCCAAGGGTAATGACGTCATTACTAATGTTATCTCTGCCAATCAGCATTTCGCATCGACCATGCAGATATTCAAATTCCAGCGTCGTAGTTGCAAACTCTCCTTCCCTTTCCTGCCCCGCCGCCAGAGCGCCCCGGAGAACTCGCTCGCAGGCTAGAACCTCATATGCTCCCACAAGCTATTTATCGACTGAAGGAAGATCATTCTATATAATAATAATAATAATAATAATAATAAGACTTTTCGAAGGAGGTTGAGCAAAATATAAAAGAGCTTGTAGGAGACAAGTTTGAATCAATTATGCGCCAAATGCAAAAGGCAATCCTCTCTAGTTCATTACACATTGCTAGAATGTTCAAGCTGAGCGGTTAGATGTCTTTAGGAAGTTTGGACACCTAGTTTAACAGAAACTTAATCTTTTACATTATCGAAATTTTATTGACATACCTTAGATGTTCTCATTATTTAATGGACAGCTATATGAACGATGATATTTAACCTATGAACATTTTGATTTTATAATTAAGACGTCCATAAAGCTTGTAGGATTTTTTATTGTTTTATTTTTTTTTTATGACACTCTTATCAAATCATTTTTACTTTTTTTTTTTTTTTTTTTTTGCGCAAATTATTGTTTAATTTTTACTACAAATTTTGCCGCCCAGCCAAAGCTTTTATTTTTTACTTTGGACATCCAGACGTTTGTACTGCCATAATAATAACAACAAAACTTTAAGTTTAGATTTTTAGAGGTGTGAAGAATACCAGTTCTGGCATCATGATTTAAGAATGTTACTCATATGACAGTTACCTCCAGCAGTTACGTTATAAACTACTTATTCTCATATCAACTCACAATACACGGAGCTCTTTTAGATCTGAAAATACTTCTGATAGAATGTGGTCGATTTCATTCGATCCTAGATCCCTAGAGGGAATAAAAGAAACCAAATATTCAGTGAGTCTCTTTTTCGGGTTTGTAGTAACAGAGAAAGAGATTTATTTACTGATGTGTTAGCTTGTGTGCAGAAAACCTTAATTCTTAGCTAGAACTGCAGGAAACATTGAATTGGTCTGAAAGAAAAATAATGGCCCCCAACACCTTACAATACACGCAACTGTTGCGTTGTTAGCTATTTATTCCACATATTGCTGCATTCGCTGTACTATAGTATGATTTTTTCAGGAAAAGTGAGTGATATATTTAATCTTGGAGTTGGTAGTCAAGTACCCAGTCCAGAGCTTTTCCACTTTTCAAATGTTGTGATCCGTGAACCAAAGCAAGCAATTACCCAATCACGGATCAATTTTTGTGTCACATGACGCGAGGCCTGTTTTCATGACAGTCAATTCGGAAAAAAATGAGTAGTCAAGCATCGGAGGTGAAAAAAAATCAGATGTGAAAGAAAGTTATAAACCTTTTCGTTACTCAATGTGGAGAACCGTTTGCAACAAAAGAGAAACGTCTCGTTAATTTCTGTTTGCATGGGCTAAATAGCGATAGAGTGGGCCGATAAGTTATTTCACACTGACCTCGGTAGCCAGGAAGGATATTATGCTTCAGTTTGGGAAAGCAAACTTTGTGAAGGCAAAAGTCTAATCATATTTTTTACTGGTAGGGATAAACTTTTTTGAAAGAGGAGTATAATTTTGATATCTTTTAGCGAGGATTTCAGCCAAGTGAAGATTTACTGAAATCATTCCCATTCACTAAGAAAAGGTTTGAAGAAGAGGGACATAAAATCCTATTTTCTCCCGGAACTTTTCCAGTAGAATGACGCAAGAAGTAATGTTGCTTTTCGACTTTCCATCTCGAATATAATTTTTTTTGGTAAATGTGCCATCATCTGCGATAATATTCCCTACAGAAATACCCTTCCTAGCTAGTCTTACAGAGGTAAATACTGTGAGGAATATTCCAAATCATTGGAAGCTGAGGAAGCCAATTTAATACTTACAGTCGTAAGAGGGACCGCAAATTCATGAATGTCTCATTGTGAAGCTCTTTAATCACGTTGCCAGAAAAATCTCTGATGAGTTTAAAAAGGTTCATTATTAAGGGACCTCAACAAAATAGCAAAAAATGCTATATAACTAAGAGTTCGAAAAACGTGCTTACGGCCACTGCAAGCAATAGATTTAGCGCAAGTAAGGGTATATTGTAGACCCTAATCGAGACAATGATTGCTAAATCAGACGATAAGTTTGTGACCCACAATATGAAACGGGGCAATACAGATCATGTTAGTACACGATTCTCTCGCCGCATATCTACATTACATTATTTTACATGCAAATACAGGAAAAATGTTCTGCGGTGTGTGTATCAGTATGTCATGAATGTGTGTGATGTATATATGTGTCTAGTTTTTAATTGTTTTGTATGTTTTGGTATTTACTGTGCAAAAAGTGGAATACATGAAATTATTTAAGAATCAAATTCAAGTTTATCAAAATACAAAGAAGAGACCTGTTTTGCTAATCTTAAGTGGATTGCTTTCTCAGTAGAGTGATGGTGGGATTGCGAGCAGGTATAATAAATCGGAGGATGCTTTAATACTTACAGTTGCTGCAAAGTACTTAGATTTTTGAAAATGTCTTTTGGTAAATGCTGCAGTCTATTAGACTCTAAATTCCTTTTAAAAACAACAAACCAAAAGATGCAATATAAAAATCACTAGAGGGAGATTAAAAACAATTACCTAGGAAAAAGATGAACCTCGGTCCTTACTGATAGGCAAATGAATGAAAATGGATTCACAGAATAACATGAGGTTCCCAAACATGTAATTAAAAGAGCGCATGAAATAAACTATGAAAAAAAAGCTTATTAATAAGTGTGTATAAGATATTTTGCGATAACTGATAATCTATATGTTCCTTCTCCCTTTAAACAAGTGAGGATGAAGTGCTCTAGCCCTGAAACATGGATCTATCACTCGCTTGAGTAAAGTATTGATCTACTTACAGGATTTGTAGGTTGGATAGTGTTTCAAACGTCCCCACAGGTAGGTCTTCAATTTTATTCAATTCAAGCTTTCTGTGAAATGAAAACAGTTTCAATGCATAGTTATGTGGATGAGCATGTGCAAGTACTTGGGAAACGTTTTTGGGAAAGATAAAAAAAAAGATTTTAGAGTTGCATTTTACAAAGTTCCCTTTTCTAAATACGGTCGACTCTCTTCCCAAATACACATTAATTGCCTATTAGCCAAAAAGGCCTTTTTTAGGGTTTGCACGCGAAGAAATATTAAAAAATAATATATATTCAATTCGTTTTATTTACTCGATTTATGTAATCAAAGTTTAAAATGATCGCTTTTAGGGGTCAAAAAAACGTTGGGACACCCCCAGATTGGTCTCCTTCAGGGGTTTTTCAAAATGTCCGCCCCTTTCATATGGGAGTACCTCAGGGGTTCTAAACGAGCCGGGGACTGGTACAACCTATGACTGCATAGGCTCTAGGCATCGTTAGAAGGTGGAGAAAAAGCATTTCGGACAGGAGCAAGCCAGCTGGAGTTTGAATTCCACCTCCAATTCCCCTGTGGCTCCCCGTCGACTGAGCTGTCAGATTGCCCCCATGCAATCAGCTCGAAGCGGAAAAGAGTGCGAACGTAAAAAAACATTGAAAAACACGTGCCAAGGGTAATGACGTCATTACTAATGTTATCTCTGCCAATCAGCATTTCTCATCGACCGTGCAGATATTCAAATTCCAGCGTCGTAGTTGCAAGCTCTCCTTCCCTTTCCTGCCCCGCCGCCAGAGCGCCCCGGAGAACTCGCTCGCAGGCTAGAACCTCATATGCTCCCACAAGCTATTTATCGACTGAAGGAAGATCATTCTATATAATAATAATAATAATAATAATAATAATAATAATAATAATAATACTAATAATAATAATAATAATAATAAGACTTTTCGAAGGAGGTTGAGCAAAATATAAAAGAGCTTGTAGGAGACAAGTTTGAATCAATTATGCGCCAAATGCAAAAGGCAATCCTCTCTAGTTCATTACACATTGCTAGAATGTTCAAGCTGAGCGGTTAGATGTCTTTAGGAAGTTTGGACACCTAGTTTAACAGAAACTTAATCTTTTACATTATCGAAATTTTATTGACATACCTTAGATGTTCTCATTATTTAATGGACAGCTATATGAACGATGATATTTAACCTATGAACATTTTGATTTTATAGTTAAGACGTCCATAAAGCTTGTAGGATTTTTTGTTTTATTTTTTTTTTTTAAGACACTCTTATCAAATCATTTTTACTCATTTTTTTTTTTTTTTGCGCAAATTATTGTTTAATTTTTACTACAAATTTTGCCGCCCAGCCAAAGCTTTTATTTTTTACTTTGGACATCCAGACGTTTGTACTGCCATAATAATAACAACAAAACTTTAAGTTTAGATTTTTAGAGGTGTGAAGAATACCAGTTCTGGCATCATGATTTAAGAATGTTACTCATATGACAGTTACCTCCAGCAGTTACGTTATAAACTACTTATTCTCATATCAACTCACAATACACGGAGCTCTTTTAGATCTGAAAATACTTCTGATAGAATGTGGTCGATTTCATTCGATCCTAGATCCCTAGAGGGAATAAAAGAAACCAAATATTCAGTGAGTCTCTTTTTCGGGTTTGTAGTAACAGAGAAAGAGATTTATTTACTGATGTGTTAGCTTGTGTGCAGAAAACCTTAATTCTTAGCTAGAACTGCAGGAAACATTGAATTGGTCTGAAAGAAAAATAATGGCCCCCAACACCTTACAATACACGCAACTGTTAAGTTGTTAGCTATTTATTCCACATATTGCTGCATTCGCTGTACTATAGTATGATTTTTTCAGGAAAAGTGAGTGATATATTTAATCTTGGAGTTGGTAGTCAAGTACCCAGTCCAGAGCTTTTCCACTTTTCAAATGTTGTGATCCGTGAACCAAAGCAAGCAATTACCCAATCACGGATCAATTTTTGTGTCACATGGCGCGAGGCCTGTTTTCATGACAGTCAATTCGGAAAAAAATGAGTAGTCAAGCATCGGAGGTGAAAAAAAATCAGATGTGAAAGAAAGTTATAAACCTTTTCGTTACTCAATGTGGAGAACCGTTTGCAACAAAAGAGAAACGTCTCGTTAATTTCTGTTTGCATGGGCTAAATAGCGATAGAGTGGGCCGATAAGTTATTTCACACTGACCTCGGTAGCCAGGAAGGATATTATGCTTCAGTTTGGGAAAGCAAACTTTGTGAAGGCAAAAGTCTAATCATATTTTTTACTGGTAGGGATAAACTTTTTTTGAAAGAGGAGTATAATTTTGATATCTTTTAGCGAGGATTTCAGCCAAGTGAAGATTTACTGAAATCATTCCCATTCACTAAGAAAAGGTTTGAAGAAGAGGGACATAAAAACCTATTTTCTCCCGAAACTTTTCCAGTAGAATGACGCAAGAAGTAATGTTGCTTTTCGACTTTCCATCTCGAATATAATTTTTTTTGGTAAATGTGCCATCATCTGCGATAATATTCCCTACAGAAATACCCTTCCTAGCTACTCTTACAGAGGTAAATACTGTGAGGAATATTCCAAATCATTGGAAGCTGAGGAAGCCAATTTAATACTTACAGTCGTAAGAGGGACCGCAAATTCATGAATGTCTCATTGTGAAGCTCTTTAATCACGTTGCCAGAAAAATCTCTGATGAGTTTAAAAAGGTTCATTATTAAGGGACCTCAACAAAATAGCAAAAAATGCTATATAACTAAGAGTTCGAAAAACGTGCTTAAGGCCACTGCAAGCAATAGATTTAGCGCAAGTAAGGGTATATTGTAGACCCTAATCGAGACAATGATTGCTAAATCAGACGATAAGTTTGTGACCCACAATATGAAACGGGGCAATACAGATCATGTTAGTACACGATTCTCTCGCCGCATATCTACATTACATTATTTTACATGTAAATACAGGAAAAATGTTCTGGGGTGTGTGTATCAGTATGTCACGAATGTGTGTGATGTATATATGTGTCTAGTTTTTAATTGTTTTGTATGTTTTGGTATTTACTGTGCAAAAAGGGAATACATGAAATTATTTAAGAATCAAATTCAAGTTTATCAAAATACAAAGAAGAGACCTGTTTTGCTAATCTTAAGTGGATTGCTTTCTCAGTTGAGTGATGGTGGGATTGCGAGCAGGTATAATAAATCGGAGGATGCTTTAATACTTACAGTTGCTGCAAAGTACTTAGATTTTTGAAAATGTCTTTTGGTAAATGCTGCAGTCTATTAGACTCTAAATTCCTTTTAAAAACAACAAACCAAAAGATGCAATATAAAATCACTAGAGGGAGATTAAAAACAATTACCTAGGAAAAAGATGAACCTCGGTCCTTACTGATAGGCAAATGAATGAAATTGGATTCACAGAATAACATGAGGTTCCCAAACATGTAATTAAAAGAGCGCATGAAATAAACTATGAAAAAAAAGCTTATTAATAAGTGTGTATAAGATATTTTGCGATAACTGATAATCTATATGTTCCTTCTCCCTTTAAACAAGTGAGGATGAGGTGCTCTAGCCCTGAAACATGGATCTATCACTCGCTGGAGTAAAGTATTGATCTACTTACAGGATTTGTAGGTTGGATAGTGTTTCAAACGTCCCCACAGGTAGGTCTTCAATTTTATTCAATTCAAGCTTTCTGTGAAATGAAAAAAACATAGTTATTGGATGAGCAATGCAATTGGGAAACGTTTTTGGGAAAGATGGATTTTGAGTTGCATTTTACAAAGTTCCCTTTTCTAAATACGGGCCTCTCTTCCCAAATACACATTAATTGCCTATTAGCCAAAAAAAGGCCTTTTTAGGGTTTGGGAAAGAAATATTAAAAAAAATATATTTCAAGAGTTTTATTTACTCGATTTTGTAATCAAAGTTTAAAATGATCGCTTTTAGGGGTCAAAAAAACGTTAAACACCCCGGTTTTTCAAAATGTCCGCCCCCATATGGGAGTACCTCAGGGGTTCTAAAAATACAACCTATTGCATAGGCTCTAGGCATCGTTAGAAGGTGGAGCCAATTCCCCTGTGGCTCCCCGTCGACTGAGCTGTCAGATTTTGCAATCAGCTCGAAGCAGAAAAGAGTGCGAACGTAAAAAAAATGAAAAACAATAATAATGTTATCTCTGCCAAATAAGAATTCAAAATAAGAGCTCTCCTTCCCTTTTGCCCCGCCGCCAGAAGGAGGTTGAGGCTAGAAAAATCGACTGAAAAGATCATTCTATATAATAATAATAATAATAATAATAAGACTTTTCGAAGGAGGTTGAAAAGCTTTTGAATCAAGTTTGAATCAATTATGCGCCAAATGCAAAAGGCAATCCTCTCTAGTTCATTACACATTGCTAGAATGTTCAAGCTGAGCGGTTAGATGTCTTTAGGAAGTTTGGACACCTATTTTAACAGATACTTAATCTTGTACATTATCGAAATTTTATTGACATACCTTAGATGTTCTCATTATTTAATGGACAGCTATATGAACGATGATATTTAACCTATGAACATTTTGATTTTATAATTAAGACGTCCATAAAGCTTGTAGGATTTTTTATTGTTTTATTTTTTTTTTATGACACTCTTATCAAATCATTTTTACTCATTTTTTTTTTTTTTTTTTTTTTTTTGCGCAAATTATTGTTTAATTTTTACTACAAATTTTGCCGCCCAGCCAAAGCTTTTATTTTTTACTTTGGACATCCAGACGTTTGTATTGCCATAATAATAACAACAAAACTTTAAGTTTAGATTTTTAGAGGTGTGAAGAATACCAGTTCTGGCATCATGATTTAAGAATGTTACTCATATGACAGTTACCTCCAGCAGTTACGTTATAAACTACTTATTCTCATATCAACTCACAATACACGGAGCTCTTTTAGATCTGAAAATACGTCTGAGGGAATGTGGTCGATTTCATTCCATCCTAGATCCCTAGAGGGAAGAAAAGAAACCAAATATTCAGTGAGTCTCTTTTTCGGGTTTGTAGTGACAGAGAAAGAGATTTATTTACTGATGTGTTAGCTTGTGTTCAGAAAACCTTATTTCTTAGCTAGAACTACAGGGAGCATGGAATTGGTCTGGAAGAAAAATAATGGCCCTCAACACCCTACAATACACGCAACTGTTGCGTTGTTAGCTATTTATTCACATATCACTGTATTCGCTGTACTTTAGTATGATTTTTTTTCAGGAAAATTGAGTGATATATTTAATCTTGGAGTTCGTAGTCAAGTACCCAATCCAGAGCTTTCCCACCTTTGAAATGTTTTTATCCACGAACCAAACAACCAAATACCCAATCACGCGAGGCTCGTTTTCATGACAGTCAATACAAAAAAGATGATGATGATGATGAAACTTTATTAAGGTGTCTAAAAAAGCCTCCTAGCTTAGGTTAAAAAAACCTATGCTAATTAGGGGACACAAAATAAATAAATATAAATATAAATTAAAGTATTTACAAATAAGCGCAGGTATAAAAAAATTAATGACAGTAACAATATTTATAGTATGACAAATATGCCTATGAATTGCAGAGATGACAACACTTGCATTAGTGTAACTATATCTAATGTACGTATTTTGTGTTTGAAACATTTTAAGGTGGTAACTTCTCTCAAGTCTGGAGATAATTTTCCCCAGAGATTGGGCCCCAAGTAGCGGAGGGAGTGTTGCCATATGTTACCGAGTTGTACCTGGCAGCGGAGAAATCAGACTGCCTTAAGTTATACTTAGATCTATGCTCAATAAAAATGTCACTGATATAGGGGGGACATAGATTGTTCTTGGCTTTATACATTAAAACACAAATGTCTTGTAGTCTTCTGTTCTGTAAACTTGGCAGTTCAGGGTACCTAACATTGTTCCTAAAAACAGCACGCGGGCCCCTTTCTTGCATCCTGTCGATTTTACGAGAATCACTGGCTCGGCAAAAGTGCCACACAAGGTGGCAATATTTAAGGTGCGGCAACATTGCTGTTTTGAAAAGCATAAGTTTAGCATTCGTCGGAATCAAGTTTCTAAGTCTCATAAGGACGCCAATTTTTTGACCGGCAATTTTACAGATCATGTTTTCGTTGCCTGAAAAGTTCAGCTTAAAATCTATTGTGACACCCAACAATTTGAGAGAGTCAGTTATACCAATATCATGATTGTTTAATCTGATCACTTGAGTGATGTTATTATCGCTTTGGCCATGTCCGATGTTCATAGTTTGATATTTCTTCAAATTCCCGGCTAAAAGATTTGAGTAGTACCAATTAGTGGCTTGCTGTGCACTTTCCTTTAGCATTAACATAACAGAAGACTGATCCCGTCCTGTGTGATAGATCTGATGATCGTCCGCGTACATAGACAAGTTAGTTGTTACACAGTACGACAAATCGTTCTGGAATATGTTCCAAAGTAAGGGACCTAGAGCGGATCCCTGTGGACAGCCTCGGTTAACAGTCCTACTTGAACTGACAAGGTCCCCAATCTTCACCCGGTAATTGCGATCACACAGATAACTCTCCAGAAGCCGAACTGTACTGCTCTCAAAGCCATAGGCGTTGAGCTTACTCAATAGTAGTGGTGGATGGAGTAAATCAAACGCTTTTGACATGTCAGTTGACAGCAAGCTCACAACCAGTTTGTCATCTCTTGCATGTCTCCAACCCTCCACTAGGTGAATCAGAGTTGTCTCACAACTATGTCCTCTGAGGTAAGCCGATGAGTTAACATACATACGATCTTTAAAGCCGGTAGAGACCTGTGCGCCTATTAGTTGTTCGAAAACTTTGTCAACACACGGTAAGACAGTTATAGGGCGGTATTTTTCCTTGGAGTGCTTATCATCCTTTTTGTAAACTGGAGTCCAGACTCCACACTTCCAATCTCTTGGCCAGACACAGTTACGTATTCATGAATTGAAAAGAGTAGTAATTGGTTTGGCCAATTCATCGGCTGCAATTTTCAAGACTTTGGCCGGGATATTGTCATAGCCAGTGGCCTTGTTAGTGTTCAGAGATTCTAAAGCAGCTAGGACTTGACCTTGCGTGATAGGTTTTACTTCAAGATTGCGTGACCCGCTTACACTTTGCTGTTGTATTCTAAGAACACTTGGATGGTCCTTAAAATCTT